CTGTAGACCACATCGTGACACCTTCTAAAGGGTACCTTAAATATTGGTCCCTTGATCTTGTGAATGTATAATTATTTCCTTTGAAAGGCCAAATAAAGTTCTCTTTTTCGTTTATTTAACTCGAGGCCGGAATTATAACAAATTAAATCGTCTGAGTTGCTGAAATCCAAGTGTTTTCCCAGACGTCTAACACACGCAGTACAGACTCTTTAGCCCGGGCAACAAGCACGAATCTTCGCTTTGCAGCCTCGTTTTCAAACGTTGGCATCTAAACAGTTTCTGAAAATATACTACAAACATGGCTTTGGATTACTGAAAGCGTACACTGCTATCGATTGAACGTAAAAGGAAATATAAATCGGAAGTAACATGGCTGCATTTTTCCTAAATTAGAGACCTAAATAATCTTTTCACTGATTTATCGTGTGTTTGGTGCAAAAGTGATGGTGTGCTGCGCTTTCTGAGGCCGTAGAAAAATCTTTCAGCTGACGCGACTGACAAGATTCGCCACGGAGAGATGGGAAATTATGGGATATCACTGGAGGGGGCTTGATGAATTGCCACAATGTTCGCTACAAGTCCGAGTGCTTTGATGGGCTTCATGAAATCGAGCGGACATTGTTGAAGGAAAATTTCGTAGACACACCCAGAGGTCCGCTTTCGCCTTAGAAATGAAGTTCTCCTCTTTTTCAATTTACAGTAGCGTTTCTTCGTCTGAAGGAAATGCTTTCTTACGGTTCATATGGCGGATGGAGGGAGAGATCTGAAATCGCGTGTCGCCAGTGCTTGTACCGAAGGCAAACAATGGCGAGTGTGGAATTCTCACTGTTTCACAGGTTTTCAGCCAGAAAATGTATGGCTGTGGCCCTGGTGTGTACGTCTCACTATTTCGACAGTCGAATTTTGCAATATAGTGGCTTTGTTTCGAAATATTAGGACAAAATTTGCAAAAATTTTGCCTTCGAAGCGACCAAGATGGCTGCTGTGGTCACGTGACTGAAGGCTTGCCTTATGGTGACGTAGCTTGGTAAGTTAGGAGAATATAATTACTGTAAACACAAGCGTTTCTTTACGCGTCGTTTACCTCGTGTGAGAAAAAAAAGTTTGGATTGAGTTGGTGTATTGTCGATACATCTTGCTTTGGTGTACTTTTTGACGTAATTTTGGAGTAAAATGGTCTGTTTGGCTTCTCTGAGATTTGTTTGTATTATCAGTTATTTTGAATTTTGGATTCCAAACTGCCCTTTGAAACGTCCATAATAACAGCATCTGGCTAACTTAGGTATAGAATTATCGGCTTCGTCACTCTTGAGCTTCATTTGAACGTTAAGGTGTTCTTTTTGACGCAGGATCAAAAGAGATTTTCTCGTTACCATGTTTACATTCGTCCAAAACATTCGTTATTTTTGCAGGGCCACGCGGAGACAATCTATTGTACCCCCTCTGGGGAAAATGCTACCGTGGCGCGAGGCAAGCTAAATCGTTCGATTTTGTAGAAAGGTGCAATGGATAATGCGACTCCAGCTATAACGAACAACACAAGGATGGAGAAACGGATCGCTTTAGAGTGCGGCAAAAGAAAACCGGATGAGGTAGAACCTCGGGTCTTTTGAGCTCTAAGGATCTCGTCTCGATGAATTTTGAGCCTTTGGCTCGATTAGTGGGTAGAAAGTGCAGTAAATCGGCTATTTTGTGAGTCGTCCCTTCTCCATGTGCTTTTGTTGTTTTGCAGATTGTCGAGCTCATCTTGGACAATTGTTATTCCACTAATGTCGTCGGTCTAACAGATGAATTTGTCAACTTGGAGAGGCTGTCTTTGATCAAAGTTGGGCTGACAAATTTGAAAAATTTTCCCAATTTACCGAATCTGACTCGGGTAAGTGAATTTTTTTTGGAGAGCGTATGTTGTTCTTCATGCGTTTGCACCCTACCTGGGCTATTTTGAAAGTTCCTTACGCGTTTGTAGCAGCTTTAGATACTCAGTATTCGTATCTCTTTATTCCCAGCTGGAACTTGGCGAAAACAGGATAACATCAGGCCTACAGTCTCTTCAGGGATCACCGAAATTAGCGCATTTGAGCCTCAGTAATAACAGAATAAAAGATCTCGAAACTTTAGAACCCTTGGTAAGTACAAATGTTCTGAGTAATCGTCTGAGGATGAGACGCGGAGCCAGTATCGATCAACTTGTAAATTTGACTACGAATTGAGCGGGAGCTTTTGTTATTTTTGTGTTTGCGGCCTGGCTATTTCCAAGTAGCTCTAATGTGTTGTGACTCTTTTCTCTTCGATAGTCAAAACTACAAAATTTAAAAAGTTTGGATCTACTAAACTGCGAGGTAACGACGATAGAGGGATACAGAGCCGAAATATTTAAAATGATACCATCCCTGAAATATCTCGACGGTTATGACAGGTAAGGCAAGACGAGAGCGCAAATTGCTTGCGCCTTCCTTCTGTTGCTTATTCGCAGTTATACAATTCATTGTCTGTGCTCGCATTTTATTGCTTTACTGTTCTTGTCCGCCATTAGATACGGCAATGAAGCGGAGGACACAGATTCCTCTGGAGAAGAGGACGGCGAGGAAGGCAAGTTTTGATTCCTTTTTCTATTGTTTTGTAATGTTCCGGACTGAAAGCGTCGTCAAAAGGAAAACGAAACTATCCTCGACCATCTTCAGAATTGAAAACTTTGAAATAAATTGAAGTTTGCATGATCCTTTTGGCGCAGCGCGTTAAAATATGCAAGGGCCCGGCAAGATAAAGAAGAATTGAGTGAAAAGCTAATTCAAACGCCAAATCAAACGATTCTTTTGCATTTTCGTCGTGGGACAGAAATAAGTTGTTGTCCTTTCGTATGTGAACAGTTACATGAGGGTTTCTTTGGTATTTTCGTACTTATTTTATCACGGGGGGAAAATAAATGGTCGCGAAAAGCGGGCACCATGCATTGAATGAAATTCCCGCGCATTTCTATTTTCGACGCTATTTTAGGATTTTGTTTTCGTTGTCGTGTTGTAGATTTTGGTTACGTTGGGCAATCTTATGTTGTAGCATAAGTACTCCTGTTGTAGCGAGCTTTGTATTTTGAGTTCACTTTTTATGTCGGAATCGGATCAAATTTCAGTAGGGCTATGGGAGAAACCGTGATCTGATCTGATTATTTCAATGACTAAATTCATTTGAACATCGACAGATTTTTTTTGGCCATGTAGGGATTTACAAATTGTAAGGCCATTTCTCTGTTGTGCTTTTGAATATCTTTTTTCCTGCTTTGATCGTTGAAAATTAAGGAAGCATTAGGTAATGATTTGCTTGATATTGTGTTGTTTTTTTGTTGTCCTATTTTGGATGTTTGAACCAAAGGTGTGTTTCTGTCTGTTCATTTCAAGGGTGAAAGGTGTTACACTAGGTATTGACTAATGGCCATCAGTAATGTTGTGTTGATAAACAATCTTGGTTGACAGCACTTGCAAAGTGATATACTATAACCTTAGACACTTATATTTTGATTGAATAATTCCTATTAATTTCAATAATTCTCTCTGGACTTGTATCTGGCCATGAAACAGAGTTATATTCAGACAAAATTAAGTACAATTGAACCCTGCTATTTTGAACTCTCAGGGGAAATGAGGAAGTTCCAAAAAGCCGTCACTAAACGACTGAAGGACAAATCCAAGAGAAATGAGATTGAGTTCAAAGTAACAGGGAATTCAAAATAACCGAGTTCGAATTAGTGAGGTCAGACTGTACCAAAAAATGATTTGTCATGGCAGATGTAAAATATCAGTGATTATTCAGGCATAGCAGTTTTCGCCACTCATTGTCTCGCCGTAATCAAACCATGGTATTCAGAGTTTCTAAACTGCACAGCAAGGAAGAGAGTGTTATCCACCAGAAGGCAGTCATGTGCCTCTTGAGGTCTTTCATGAAAATTAAATGAGCATAAAAATACTGAGTTTTAGGCGTGACTTTTGTAACTGGGCCACGTGAGACAAAGTAAACAAATCCTGTGACAGAATGAGACTTCACTGATTTGTGGCAACCTGAATTTGCTAACCAACTGCCTGGGTATTATACATAGGATCACCTATGGTCAAAATTGTTTACAACTGGTCTCAAGATATTGCTTTAAGATAAACTGCAGGGCTTAGAGGTATCACATTAGACTATCTTGTTTTAAAAGCCAACCACTTTCCTGTTTTAAAAATTAAGATATTAATTAGGTATTAATTGAGTTATTAAAACAAGACACAACCACTTTCCATCAGAATCACTCTTCTTTCTAGCTTGAGCTCACTAAATTTGCCTTTAGTTAGGAAGAATAAGGTTCAGGCATGTAAAATCTATGTTTGAATGTAGTGGCCAATCAGGCCCGTATTTATCTCCGGGCTCCTTGTCATTAAAAGACTAGGAGCATTTCAACTCCCCCTTGATGGATTCCAGCTCATGACAAAGTTACCACCAGCATTTAATTTGCCTGTGTCAATTTATAAACCTGGGTGGAGAAAGGCACTGTGAGAGTAAAGTGCCCTGACCAAGGACCCAAAACAATGCTGGCCAGGGCTTCAACCTAGTTTGGACTTCAGAGCACCAATTTACTTCTAGGAAGAATTTTACTCACCATTTCAATATGCTTTGATCAGAGTGAGATATGATTACGGTATTCACTGTCCTTATCTTATCCTGGACAGATGATGAAGGCGATGAAGATGATGAAGGAGACGAAGATGACGATGATGAAGATGGCGAAGGTAACAGTGCTGCTGTGATTTACCTGCATAAAATAGAATGAGTCACATAGCATGAGAAAAGTTAGGGTAGAGTTTTATCATTTATTCCACATAAAATAATTGGAGAATAGTTCTAGTCTCTGGATGCTTTTTCTGTAAAATTCTTTGTAATGAAAGTGTGAAATGTCACATGGGCAGTCACAACTAGCCATGAATAAAAGGCCAAAAATAGCCTCGTCTTCTCCGCCCCCTGTTACATTCAGCATTGTGGACAAGTTCAGCTTGAAGCCATGACCATTTTGGTTGGTATAGCAGGGAAGAAACATTTGGCAACTAAATTTTCTAAATACATTTCTAATTTGGTGACTACTGTACAGAAAGCTTATTGCTCATCATCAAGTTTTTTTTTTTTGTAGTATAATCACTTAGCCAAACAAATTCAACCACAATTTATGCATGTAACTTGTAGTTAAGACTGTTCAACAAAGACAATAGTGATACTTTTGGCATTCAATAAATCTTACTTTTAGGGGAGGATGACGACGAAGATGATGTAGATGACGAAGAGGGATCAAGTGGTGATGATGACGATGAGGGCGTAGAAGGTGAAGGTCTGTTAACATAATGCACATTCAATTTTTCACTTCCCAATAAAATCTAATACAAACGATGATTCCTAAATGATGAAATGAAATGATTCCTAACCTTTTAAGCCAGTTTCCAAGAGTAAAACTACAGTTTAACCAGGGATGTCCTCTAGGAGCATTCCTGTGCCACAGGCTACTACCTTTTGCCCCTGGGCGACTGGAAAACTCACTTTTTTCAAACAAACTCAAGTGCTGGGCACCCAGGATTTCATGGTTAGAAACCTTTGGGCTCCTCAAAATTTTTGTTAGACCACACCCTAGAGTTTCACACCAGTATCTGACACTCAAAATGGCTGAAAAAGCTCAATCAAGGAGAAGTGATTTGAGTAAGAGATAGCAGGGGTTCAAGATGTCCAAGTTCAAGATTGCAAGGCTCAATCTGTAGCTAGGAATATTTGAACCATGGTGACACTTAATTTCTCCTCAGCTGAGTGGAATTGGTTTAAGTGTTTTACTTTTTTATGGCAAGTATAAACAAATCTTTGAATATTCATTCAGAGGGTGATGAAGATGAAGATGAGGAAGATGAAGAGGATGAAGGAGAAGATGAGGAGGAACCTGGTCTAGATTATTTACAGAAAGAAAACTTAGAGGTAAATTTTAGTGGATGGCTGCAAAGGGGTGTTATCATTTGATGACATCAAAGCCCTTGTAGTGTGAGGCACAAATTTATAATAGCTTTCCCTTCAGGCAAGCTCTTGCCTAAGGTTACCAGCCGAAAGTTCTCAGGGATAAGTCTAAAGTTTGCTTCTGTCAAAGAGTAGTTTGTAGGGATCTAAATCTGTTGAATCAGTGTTTTGGCCAGAGCGCACCATTACAGGAATCCTGTGTTACAAGCAGATATGGCCCCCAGAAAAACAAAAAAAGGGCCAATTTGGCCCTTTTCTTTAACAAGACTGCAGGCTTAACACAGGCATATATTTTAAAAGCTATCCAAGGGCTTCAAATTGTGATCGATACGATTTCCAATGCAACAATCATTTCACCCTTGGCGACCAAAAATTCTGGTTTTGTCGCTATAATATGGCATCATGGCGACTACATTTCTCTGTGTTGACGATCAATAACGGTTATTTTGTCACACATTATGTCTTTCTAGAAAATCATATTGAAAGATCTTTGCCTCTAAAACATTCAACATAAGAAAAGAAGTCAATCCGTCCTTTTGCTTTGCTGTATTGATTCTCTCACATCGGAAAACTTCCAAATGGATGGCCGTGTTTGAAATCGCCCTATAATGCATTGCAAACCTTTGATCATTGACTACGTCATGTATGCCTAAGGATTGTTCTCTTGTAATGCAGGGATCCATCATACTAGTATCTGATTCAAAAGAAACTTTATTGAGTAGAAACACTTCAAAAAGCACTTATTAAATTTTATCATAGATCGTAACAAACTGCTTTATTTTCCTTGGTACCCTGATGCATTTTTCCCTTCTGTAGCTTTCAATTTATTGGCCCCTTTCCTAAAAAATTGGCCCCTAAAGAAGATTTTCAGGGACCACTTTGGCCCTCAAGCAAAATTTTCTGGCTGAAACATTGTGAATGTCTTACTGCTGTTGGTATGACTCGTATAGCAGGTGTCTTTACACCCAAAAATTCCACTTATTACTTGGCTCTCTATAGAGTCCAATTAACCTTACTTTGGTGCAGATTTCTAGCCAGGATTTAAAGAGTGGGCATCCAAAATGTGCTATAGGGCCTGCTCAAATGAACAAGTTATGAGGCAACATATGGAATAAAACAATTTTCTCTGAAAAGTGGCCATCCACAGGATGCCTGGACACCTATCTGACTAAAAGCATGTTTTGGTGCATAAGTGTAGTACTTTCAATTAGAGCTGGCACTTGCCAGACTTGCTAAAATCACTACCAAGCCTCAGTTTGAGTATGGAAATTTTAAATTTTATCATGAACTAATTTCCAAGGCAGCAATGATGAAAAGAATACTTACATGAAAACAACACCACAGGAAAGAAGGGTTGAGAAAAATGCCATGCAAACGAGGTTTGGTGGTGACTTTTGAGCATGTTACGTTATAGCGCTTAAGAAGAACTATAATGTTAGCAGTTTTCATAGTTGACTATCTAGAGGAAGTTGTCTTCAACCTCTCATATTACTGTCTCGCTGGTGCTGCACCACAGCAGCCACGTGCTTCAAATCTTATTGAAAGTCCTCTAGTTTATGGAGTGTTCACTTATTTGTTTTCCTAGGATGAGGAAGAAGGGGAGGACTTCAACCCTGATGAGGAAGATGAAGAAGAAGAAGAGGAAGAGGAGGAAGAGGAAGAAGAGACAGGAGAACCCGACAGGAGAGGAGAAAAGAGAAAGAGAGAAGACGACGAAGATGATGATGACGACGACTGACAAAAACTCCCATAGCAAGCGTGGAGCTACCTACCCCAGATTGGAAGTGCTCTTTTTGTATAGAGTTGTCAATGGTGTTCAAGAGGTCCTTATTATGAGCCTTCACAAGTGCCCTTTTATAGGCCTCCCACTAGAAGGGGCCCATGGCTAGCAGGTGGCATGTTCCTTGATTCCTGGAGTTGTGACTGAGTCGTTTCTTATTTAGTAGTCAGTGCTAGCTTGTTAAAGTGGTCCCACGATTGTAGTAACTTAATTTTTGTATTTACTCCTGGAGTCAACCGACTCTTACCTGTTAGAAATCAAAATATAAATGGNAGCTCAATCAAGGAGAAGTGATTTGAGTAAGAGATAGCAGGGGTTCAAGATGTCCAAGTTCAAGATTGCAAGGCTCAATCTGTAGCTAGGAATATTTGAACCATGGTGACACTTAATTTCTCCTCAGCTGAGTGGAATTGGTTTAAGTGTTTTACTTTTTTATGGCAAGTATAAACAAATCTTTGAATATTCATTCAGAGGGTGATGAAGATGAAGATGAGGAAGATGAAGAGGATGAAGGAGAAGATGAGGAGGAACCTGGTCTAGATTATTTACAGAAAGAAAACTTAGAGGTAAATTTTAGTGGATGGCTGCAAAGGGGTGTTATCATTTGATGACATCAAAGCCCTTGTAGTGTGAGGCACAAATTTATAATAGCTTTCCCTTCAGGCAAGCTCTTGCCTAAGGTTACCAGCCGAAAGTTCTCAGGGATAAGTCTAAAGTTTGCTTCTGTCAAAGAGTAGTTTGTAGGGATCTAAATCTGTTGAATCAGTGTTTTGGCCAGAGCGCACCATTACAGGAATCCTGTGTTACAAGCAGATATGGCCCCCAGAAAAACAAAAAAAGGGCCAATTTGGCCCTTTTCTTTAACAAGACTGCAGGCTTAACACAGGCATATATTTTAAAAGCCATCCAAGGGCTTCAAATTGTGATCGATACGATTGCCAATGCAACAAGCATTTCACCCTTGGCGACCAAAAATTCTGGTTTTGTCGCTATAATATGGCATCATGGCGACTACATTTCTCTGTGTTGACGATCAATAACGGTTATTTTGTCACACATTGTCTTTCTAGAAAATCATATTGAAAGATCTTTGCCTCTAAAACATTCAACATAAGAAAAGAAGTCAATCCGTCCTTTTGCTTTGCTGTATTGATTCTCTCACATCGGAAAACTTCCAAATGGATGGCCGTGTTTGAAATCGCCCTATAATGCATTGCAAACCTTTGATCATTGACTACGTCATGTATGCCTAAGGATTGTTCTCTTGTAATGCAGGGATCCATCATACTAGTATCTGATTCAAAAGAAACTTATTGAGTAGAAACACTTCAAAAAGCACTTATTAAATTTTATCATAGATTGTAACAAACTGCTTTATTTTCCTTGGTACCCTGATGCATTTTTCCCTTCTGTAGCTTTCAATTTATTGGCCCCTTTCCTAAAAAATTGGCCCCTAAAGAAGATTTTCAGGGACCACTTTGGCCCTCAAGCAAAATTTTCTGGCTGAAACATTGTGAATGTCTTACTGCTGTTGGTATGACTCGTATAGCAGGTGTCTTTACACCCAAAAATTCCACTTATTACTTGGCTCTCTATAGAGTCCAATTAACCTTACTTTGGTGCAGATTTCTAGCCAGGATTTAAAGAGTGGGCATCCAAAATGTGCTATAGGGCCTGCTCAAATGAACAAGTTATGAGGCAACATATGGAATAAAACAATTTTCTCTGAAAAGTGGCCATCCACAGGATGCCTGGACACCTATCTGACTAAAAGCATGTTTTGGTGCATAAGTGTAGTACTTTCAATTAGAGCTGGCACTTGCCAGACTTGCTAAAATCACTACCAAGCCTCAGTTTGAGTATGGAAATTTTAAATTTTATCATGAACTAATTTCCAAGGCAGCAATGATGAAAAGAATACTTACATGAAAACAACACCACAGGAAAGAAGGGTTGAGAAAAATGCCATGCAAACGAGGTTTGGTGGTGACTTTTGAGCATGTTACGTTATAGCGCTTAAGAAGAACTATAATGTTAGCAGTTTTCATAGTTGACTATCTAGAGGAAGTTGTCTTCAACCTCTCATATTACTGTCTCGCTGGTGCTGCACCACAGCAGCCACGTGCTTCAAATCTTATTGAAAGTCCTCTAGTTTATGGAGTGTTCACTTATTTGTTTTCCTAGGATGAGGAAGAAGGGGAGGACTTCAACCCTGATGAGGAAGATGAAGAAGAAGAAGAGGAAGAGGAGGAAGAGGAAGAAGAGACAGGAGAACCCGACAGGAGAGGAGAAAAGAGAAAGAGAGAAGACGACGAAGATGATGATGACGACGACTGACAAAAACTCCCATAGCAAGCGTGGAGCTACCTACCCCAGATTGGAAGTGCTCTTTTTGTATAGAGTTGTCAATGGTGTTCAAGAGGTCCTTATTATGAGCCTTCACAAGTGCCCTTTTATAGGCCTCCCACTAGAAGGGGCCCATGGCTAGCAGGTGGCATGTTCCTTGATTCCTGGAGTTGTGACTGAGTCGTTTCTTATTTAGTAGTCAGTGCTAGCTTGTTAAAGTGGTCCCACGATTGTAGTAACTTAATTTTTGTATTTACTCCTGGAGTCAACCGACTCTTACCTGTTAGAAATCAAAATATAAATGGTCCTGTTTATCAAGTGTTGTGGTGTGTAAGTCATAGATAGTGTAACAAGATGACTCATCAACAGGTTGTAGCAGTTGCTTGTTTTCAGTTTTGTACGGTACAAGTGATCAGTCATGGATTCAAGTTTTTTCATGACTTATCACTTGCACTGGCTGTACAGTAGATAAAAGGAAGGTACAGTCTCAGTGACCTTGCATGACTGGCTTACATTTTTTTGAGAGTAGAAAATAAGTTTTAAAATCTCTTACATCAAAAGTTATGAACAGTATTGTTTCTTATGTTAGCATCCATTGTCAAGGCTCTATTAGTTATTAAATACACCACTGTAAGTGACACATGTTGTATGTGCAAAGCTTATGTCTGTAGAGGCAAAGGTTCATGACGAACAACTGGGAAATATACTTTAGTTATAGAACAAGACACTTTGATGGACACAGGTTTATAACATTTATCTAGTATAAAGAAAGAAATATTTGAATTGTGATGATGAAATTTAGCATTATACCGTCAAATGTTAACTGCTTCTTCACCTTGCCTAAATTCAATGAGTTTAAGTTCTTTCTGTATCAGAATTTAATATGATTTGTGGATTTTTCTATGGGCAAGTCTAGCCTGATCCAAAGAAAAGGACAGAAAGATAGAAAGATAGCCTGTGAACAGGCTCTCAGTGAGGGCAGAAAGACAATTTGGTGAGCAAAGCAGGCCAATGAGTGCAAAATAAAGAATTCTGCGAGCAAAGCGAGTGGGGCATGGCCTGCTCCGCTTGCCCTGGACCACACTTGGCCACCTCGCACTAAAACCCGTCCGGGAGCCTGTTTGCAGGCTAAAAGAAAGGAAACTGTTGTGTCTAATCATAGAGTCCTGCTCTCAGGTTTGCTTTTGTTTTGTTTTGTTTTGTTTTAACCATTTGACCTGCTTGTCTAAAACATGTTTCATGAAGAGAAACCTAAGGATATTGCTACAAAGGACTTTACTGCATGCCCCTTAAAACAGGCCAGCACAGAAATTATAAGGAGAAAATAAGAAATTAACAACTCATTGATAGTTTGTCCATGTACTAGATCCACTTGTTGTATAGGACATGCATGTAAAAAGTTAGGCCAAGCAAACGTTGTGAAGTTTTGGTCCTCAATGTTTTGAGTTATTATACACAACCCTAGGTATTTAAAGACATTTTTAGATGATTGTTGGTCAATAGCCTTCTTTTGTCAGTCGTGCTTTCACATTTCTCAAGCAACTTGGACTTGCTCTTTACATGCCTATGTCATACCATTTCAGAAGGTATTAGCCTTCATTGTAAGTGACGTCATTAGGGATAAATAGCAGCTTCCCAGGTGAAAAGCTGTCGACAGTCTTAAATTATTACGCATTGTGGTACAAGTTGATTTCTTATAAATCATGACTGCACTTTTTAAGTAGGTTTTTGGGCATTTTGACCCCTGTATGTTGGAAACTTCCATTGCTTAGCCAGTACTTTTCATGGTGTGCTGTTCTTTTCGTTTTGCTAGCGGCTGGGAAGAACTTATTCAAAACGCTTCACATACGGCCTTTGTCTTTGAAAAGAATAGGAGCCCTGTTTCACTATATTAGATACCTTTCTTTATTATGAAATTAAAAAAAAGAAAAGATTTGTTAAAAATGTAGCAACTTTGAATTTTTTTATATTTGTGAAATGGCTGAAAGTGAAAATGAAACACTGGAATATGCTTTTTAAGGGAAACTGTGGAACCACACGCCTGCGGCTCGTGGTTCCACAGCCACTGACAATGTTATGACGGAATTTATCATCAATAAGAGGACAGAGGCGTAAAAAATGACGTCAGTTTGTTAAGTAAACGAACAAACTGGAAGTTGGTTTTAAAAAGAATTCCTTCTGAAAACGAGTTCACGACTACGTGTTGAACAGGGAAACTGCCGCTCTCGTAGTTCTCCTCTCCTCCTCTATGGCAAGTTCGTCAATCATTATTTCATTTACTCTTAACACCTATGGCCACTCCCGTTTCCCAAGAGGTATTTACACACCTCCCTCTCCTCGTCGGTAATCCTGCCCGCGATCATCATGATGCTGTCTCTACTATGCTCGTTTTCACTAGCGCATTAGCTAAATCAACATGCCCAGATGCTGTTAGCGCTATTTGATGGGAAAATCTTTTGCCTCACTCTGTCTGCCTAGGGATTATGTTTTTTTTCTAGGGAGAGGGGGTGGGGAATTTTTCTGAGTAAGAATTTTGTCGAGGTCAGCATGTTTAATAATTTTTTTTACATTTTCTTGACGTCTTTTTGCGTGGCTCCGAGTTTGCAATTACACGAGATTTTGTTTTTGTTGTTGTGGGATTTTTGCAGGGAATCTTTTGGGGGTAATTTTCTCAGCCCCTCCCCCGCATCAATCTGCGGCACCACGAATTTTTGTTTCCCAGAAATGGAGGAGGGATCCATGCTGCTGGCATTTTGTATTTTTACGGTATTTCTAAGGCCTCTAAAACTTTTACCTGCGCATGGATAAATGAAAATGAAACGTGACATTGAATCCACTTTAGAATGAATGCGGAGAAAAATATGCTCTCAGGGTGTCATTCTGGCAGTTCGCTGTGCCATGGACGTTCGTACGCGTCCAATCCATGAAGGCGTCCAACAAAGTTCGAAAATAACTTGACCCGCTCCTGGAAACTTCGAGCACTTGCAAACTCAATTGACCGTGGCGTGACAGGACTATAAACAGGGCGTACCCTCTTGCATGAATTATTAACCAATATGGCCCTCAATAAACAACAATACGAAGCACTACCCGGGAAAGACGGTGGAGAACGTGTTATGGCGAGTGAAGGGAAACCAGTTGTCAGCCAGCCGGCCAAACTCTCGGCCACAGAGGAGTATGTACTCAACCTAGATCCAGCCACAGTATCCGGTAAGTTTGCCTTTGACGTTTCATAATTTCTTAAAACGAACTTCGCGTCTATTTACCTCATTGTGGAACGCGCCTTCAGAAAACGGCGCCATAAGCTTTACATTTTATTGCATTGGTATTTTTAGGTATTTTACATATATTTTGTATGCGTTCAGCGCGCGATCGCGACATAACGAGTCGAGGAAATCGAACGAGGTACTGTGTGCGTTTTGATCTCAATATTTATTTGATTAGAAGAGTCAAGTTCGCTAAGCCACAGACTCTCATGTTAGTACGACCATGGGCGTTGTCAATATAGCTGTTCTTGATTTCAAATAGTGGGAAATTTCGATCTTTCGTGTCACAGGTCTTTTCTATTAGAACAATTTTTATTTGAAGAAAAGTCCAAGCCTTTATTTCTTGCCTAATGTGAGAAAGCAATATACACTGTTGTGTTTGTTGTGAGCAGTATGCGGTGATATGCATACATTATGGAAGTTAGCGGTCAATCACAGACCGCCTTCTTGAACGTTCTATTCCACTCATTTTGTTTTCGTCTGTGGTAAGGTTATATTGCAAAAAGCCTTATATAACGTACTTTCGCTCTGAGTGATTTAACAAGGCTGAAGTTAGATTATGGCTGCTGGCGTGGATGGTTTTGTTTACTTTGTGCAACGTAGGAAACAATGAAATATTACTGTCTTGATTTTAAAATCGTCCAAAGTTTCAAACATTTGTTTTTATGTGTTGATGACCGAACCTGGTATGATTTTATTTTAAAATCTGCAGTAAGCTTATAGAAAGTGAAAAAAAATTAATTTATGCCCACTTGCATTTTGTACACAGAATCATTAAATGCAAATTATCATAATTTTTCCTTTGATTTCTTGCCTTGATTTCTTGTCACGAGAAAGGAGAACTATGTTGGGGGAATTTTGTTTGTGTTTAGTGTGGCCAAGTTTATCCAGGAATTTAACTGGGCATAGCCTTCTGTGCCCTCAAAGTGCAGAAATTGATGACTGTTTACTGGGAGATCCCCTAGTTGTTTTATTTTTTGTATCATTGAATGGTTTCTTAGCAACTGTCAATCATGCTGTTTGAATGGGAATTAAATTAAAGTAGCACTTAACCTGGATTAAACCTTTGGTCAAGAGGTAGAGTTTGCGATAACAAATTGTACAACATGTGCTAGTCAGAGTTAAATGAAGGGATTTCAAGATTAGTCACACATAAGCCTGGGCTAGCCAACTATTTATCAGCTCAATGAATGTAGCTAAAGCAGCATTGCAGTGTCATTAAGATAAAGTGTTGCTAAGATAAATTAAGCAGAAGAATATCTATAGAAGTGTGGTGTGATTATCCCCTGACACTGCAGTGCTGTTTTAGTATGCTAATATATTTTCCTTAGCTGGAGAAATTGCCTACTGCAGATCATTTTCAAATAAATTGCAATAGTAATTATTATTGATCCCCTACCAAGCTTGTTTTAAGCAGTAAAATATCCATTGTAATTAAATTATCAGTATTGCCTTAGCCCTGTAAGAAAATTGTTGATTACAGGCAAAGCTCTTTATTAAAGAGCTTTGCCTGTAATCAACATATCAAAGGCGGCAGGTATATTTTGGAGGTTGCAGTTTGAAATGACTCGTTTATTTGAGTTGAAGTAGAATAAACCCCAGTATAAAGGCTAACCAAGCAACCTCAGACCTGCCAACTCTCCCAGTTTTCCCGGTTGAGAGTCTCCAAGTTTTTCGTCAAATTTCCCGGTCTTCTGGTTAGAGCACCAAATCTCCCAGGAGCTACTCACTGTGGCTCTTTTTAAATTTTTTTTTCATTAATTTCGTTATTTTCGAGATTTCAAAAAGGAAAATAAAACAAGAAGGGAATTTGTTGCTCTTATTTGAGCTGCTCTCGATCGGAAAACGTGAAACAGAGCAATCAAATTGATATATATTTAATGAGTATCATAATTGGTCAGAAATCAACCAATCAAATTGTGCAATACATGGTACAACATTGGCGTAGTTTTTGCACGCTGTTTACATCAGTCGAACCGAAGAAGGCCTCCAGGTTTTTGCTCTCTGAGGGTTGGCAGGTATGCAACCTAAGCTAATTTAGGCTAACCGAAGTGCTATTCAGGCTAACCAAAGTGTTAATATGTAGACTCAGTCGGACTTAAAAGTCGATTTTTCAACCTGCAACCTGCAAAATATTCCTGCCCTATCAAAGGAGTAGATCTGAGTATCTCCATTACAGATTGAAGTTAACCCTATTTCCACAGAGGTGGAAGGCATAACTATTGAACTGTCCATAATATGGAGGTATCAGTTACTAAAGTGTCAGTAAGAAGAGATTTAACTATAAAGAAGGGACACCAATAAGTCCATTTTTACAAATGTCTTAGGGAAAAGGAGACGTTGGAAATTCAGGGTTCTCTTATTCCAGCACGAGGAGCAACAGTTGCCTAGAAACACTGCAACATTACAAAATTGTGGAATAATTTAAAGAAATAACCAAACAACCTGATCCGTGTTGTATGTTGAAGATATTGGTACATACTTACATGTAACTGCCCTTATGCCAAATGTAGCACAGCAAAGAAATTGGTTATGCTCCCTCTAATATAATTCCAAGCTGTATTAATGGTGGTAGCTTTTATAGGCAAATCTTTGCTGACATCATTGTTTACATTTTTGCTCCTTAGCATACAAATTGACCCATAGAAGCTGTGGCCGTATATACGAACTAAATGCAAAAGTTGAAAAAGTTGATTAAGTTGAGCAATTTGTGCAATTNCACATCTCTCTGCCTAAAACCACCATGAAGAGCGAGGGCTCTGGAAACGTCATTGGTTTGAAATTCGAAAATCGCACTTGTACTCAATCTGGTACTCGTAGTCCAATCTAAAGGTCTCTATTATAAGGTCGTCATGACTTCCAAACCACAAGCCTAGGTGCAGTGCATAAATACATGTATAATTTCTCACTGGGCTATTTTTCTTACATCATGTTTTGGGGGATACCCATCCCAATCTCTCTGGCCACTTTGAATTCACAAAACTGTTTTAACATACGCAGAGGTGTACATGTACAAGAATTGTTTCAAGCAATTTTTCCAAACATCCAGGTCATTTCTGTGTCTATACTGATGTTCAAAAGAAAGAGACCATGCTACAGTGAATCAAGTCATTGTTTATAATGAATAAAAATACCTTTAAACCACAGAAATAGTGGTTTAGCAAGGTAGAAGACATCAAAGCCAATGATGGGTAAGACCGAGATGGATTGTAATAGCTGACTTGTAAGACTAACTGGTTTTATATTCTGCTCTGTTTTAGCTCTGATGCCATGGATGAAAAGGAGCGACTTCACCTATGCTGTGATGCCTTTAAAGCACATCTCATTAGCATTAATGAAGCCATCAAGACAAATGAAGTTGCTGATCATGTTGATTCTGCTATTAAAAATATCCAGAATGGTGTGCGGTATGAGCGTCTTGATGTTAATGGACCAAAACATCCAAGAGTTACAGAAAAATGTCCTTTGACGACAAAGTGAGTATTCTTTATAGGTGAATCTTTGCTGACGTCATTGTTTACATTTTTCTTCATTAGCATACAACTTGACTCATAGAAGCCGTGACCTTATATATGAACTAAATGCAAAAGTTGAAAAAGTTGATTAAGTTGAGCAATTTGTGCAATTTTCAGCTCTTTGCAAGCAATATTGAAGGAAATATCAGCTATCAAAAATTGCAAAATTGCTGTGTGGCAAAAAAGTTAATGAGCCATACATTTCTCTGTAAAAGTTAGAGGTTTTAGAAGAGAATTTCTCCAAAACCATTCCGTGTATTGGGCTCAAATTTTCAGAGATAACTGAAACTGTCATGTCCTTTCAATATTCAGAGTTTTTCTTTTATTAGCGTCATCAGATAGCAATAAGCATATGTTAATAAGGCAAAAAGTGTAAACGAAGATTCGCCTATAAGGGCTAGCTGAATGGAGCTTTCAACTGAAATATTATCATCAGATCCAAGATAGTGCACTTTTAAATTGATAATGCCATATTTGACCCAACAAAATTCAGTAAGTACTGACATGAAATCCCCCATCCCCCACCCCCGCTCCAAAAAAAAGGAAAAAAATGGGCAGTGTAACACATTTCATAAGATAAGAGGCAACACGTTTTTGGACTCCTATCAAAAAAAGACTAGTCTACACAAAAATACAGCATGGTGTTACACAAGCACTTAAATTTGCTTTGTTTGTTTTTTGGTAGCTACTTCGTAACGCCTGGTGACTGTGATACTGTGGAAGACGAAGAGAAGCTCATGTTTTCTCACAAGGCAAAATTTTGCATGGCAAGTCAGGGATGGATATGGGGAGGAGACCCTCTCAAGGACTTTGCTGCCCCAGGATCATTGGTTTATCTGCGGCGTGAAGTCATTGCATGGGGTGACAGCGTGAAACTACGGTATGGGCAGAAACCTGAAGATGCGCCTTTCCTTTGGGATCATATGCTTAAGTATACCAAGATTTGTGCTGAGTAAGTTTACCATCATAGGCCATTTCTTAGTTGAACTTTATAAATTGACTCTTTAAACTTCAAAATGTGGTTTGATAGGAAAACTTGTGAAAGTTGTGTGACTGTTGTCATTTGATGTAGATTTCAGCCAGCTTGTGTTTATTTCAGGTTGTTTGATGGCATTCGCCTTGACAATTGCCACAGCACACCACTTCATGTTGCAGAGGTCAGAGCATTGGTGTATTGTGCAACTTTTTATTTTGATTTATTTGACTGTCTTAAAGCATTATAAGTATCAATAACTTGTATGGCTAGGTTATGTTTTAAAATGATACTGACAGAATTTGAAATTACTGGTCTTTCAAATTAGTTTAGGTAATCCTATGAATGCAAGTGCAATGTCAGAAGGATTTGCAATTTTGAGATAATTTTGAAATAACACGAATAATTGTAAATCCTTAATCCTCAATTGCTCAAGCTTTTATAAAATTACTCATTTATTATTAGTATGGAAGAACAGGTAATGTATGGATTGAAGACATATACACTTTTAATGAAAGGGCCTGATCAGCCATACGCGGCATTTTAAAACTCTCAATTCAAACTGTTGATTTCATTTCCAGTACTTTGTAGATGCAGCAAGACAATTGAAACCAGAATTGTATATTACAGCAGAATTGTTCACTGGTTCTGAGGCTACTGACAATATTTTTGTCAACCGTCTGGGCATCACATCTCTTATAAGAGGTAAAGACTTTCAATAAAGGCCTTTGTTTGAAACAATCAAATCTTATTTTTACCTTCCTTGTCTCCTTATAAGGTCCTGTGGGAACTAAGAGGTGACAAAGTCCCTTCACTAAAATAAAACCAGTGTTAGTTTTTTGTTTTCTTTGTACAATGTACATTCATTTGTTGAAAAGTAGAACACCATTTTCAGGGCTTGAAATAATTTCCTGGCTGGCAATGGTCAAGTTGTCTGGCCAAATCTATTTTTGTCCGGGGGGTAACCCTGGGATGGACTAGCATCCTATCCACAAGGGAGTAGAAATATATGTATTTCTATTCACGTACTTATTTATTGTATGGAGAAATTTTGGACCAGATTTAGCCATGGCAAGTTTGTAATTTCACATGTGAAATTAGAAATTAATGCTACAATTTGTCACCCATGATATTAATGACATAATTTCACATTCACTTTCTGCTTTGCTGTTTTTCTTAACAGAGGCTTTGAATGCACATGATGCTCATGAGGAAGGTCGTTTGATTTACCGCTATGGAGGTGAACCTGTCGGTGCCTTCATGCACCCCTCAGACATGAAGCCCCTTGTGCCCAGCATTGCACATGCACTCTTTATGGATGTTACACATGACAACCCCAGTCCATTTCAGGTAAAAGACTAACAAATAATGTACAATGTCTTTGCTACTCTCACTTTCTGTTACACTGTACATGATTAATTAAATTCGTACCACTGTAGAAGTGTCTGTTAGCGTTGATGCCTGTTGGCTTGTGTTCCAACTGCATTTCTTGTTCTCCCAAACTTCCACTTGTGTTTCTGTTAAACAATTTGATTATAGCTCGAGATTATGAGATTATCAAGATTATAAGCTTGAGATTTATGAGCTCGAGATTTTCTATGCGGGATAGTTTACTCGGGCTGTTCCCTCGTCAACTATCATGCACAGAAATCGAGAGTGAATAATCTAATATTGTTTTAGTATAAATCTACTGGTTGTTCAAAACTTTAATTAAATCCTCTTCACAGACACTTCGAAAACGCCAAGAAGTGGCCGTCATTTTGTTAACAAGCGCTCACTGCTATGCTATTGACTATCTATCACAGAATAGATGGTGAGTAGGGTAGCCAATCAGAGAATGGCATTCGTGATAGGACGCTGGTAGATTTATACTAAAACTCAATAGAAACTCGGCACATGTTTTCTATTTCTTAAATACCATGTATTGTGGATAATAATGATTCATCTGAAGCATAATTTACCCGAGGAACTCAGCAAACTTTAGACTGCACCCAGTTGGGTGCAATTTGTTTCAGTGACATGAGCGATATGAAACAACCTAACTGAGAAATGACTTATCTTATTTACAGGTGCGATCTGTGTATGACTCTATTGCCAGTGCAGCGTTAGTCTCAATGGCATGCTGTGCGACAGGGAGCTCCAGAGGATATGACGAACTGGTACCTCATCATGTAAGTAAAATACTTTTGTGACCTCTGAGCACATTTTATGAGAAGCACACAGGGGAAGCACAGTGGCCTTATGGTCAGTGCGCTTGTCTTTGGATCGGAGTGTGTTGTGTTCTTGGGCAAGCCACTTTGCTCTCACAGTGCCCCTCTCCGCCCAGTTGTATACATGTAAGTGGGTAGTTGTGAATTTAATGCTGGGCGTAACCCTGAGATGGACTAGCATCTCATCCAGGGGGGAGTAGAAATACTCCTGGTTTCTTCATGCTACAGAAACAGGGATAAGCTGGCATGTATTGTACTTACTTATGATAAATACATGTGAGTGCAAGCTCCTGATTATGCACTGCCCCTGAGTGAGCACCACGCACTACAGCACATCACAGCAATTATAAGCACTGCTCTTTGTGGAATAACTCCTAAACATTGTAGTACTGTACACTTTAGAACTAAAAGGCACTTGTTGTAAGAGGCTTATACTGCAAGAACAATTTTTGATCGGGAATGACACACATTCACCTTGACACCTTAAAGTTATCATGGTTTTGTACTCGGGCAAGATACACTTTTCAGTCACAGTGCTTCCCTCCACCCAAGAGGAGGCTTTCAGTCAGGATTTTAAACCTGGGCATCCAGAAGCTCAAGCTAACAATTTTATGATGCAACACGTGATAAAGTAATTTTCCCCAAACAGAGGGTGGTATGTACATGTACAGAACACCTAGACTGAGATGCCTGTCTAGCTGAAAGCCTGCCCTGATGTATAAATGGGTACCTGAGAATTGTTGGGGTAATATGATGAAAATGCCAAGGGGTACTCTGCAATGAACTAATACCTCATTTAGAGGAAGGATTCTAGCTGTGTCATGTTTAAGCATTTTTTTCGTGTTCTAGATCCATGTGGTCAAAGAAGACCGCCTTTACTTGTCATGGCCAAATGACAAGTCTGAGCTTGAGGACACTGCATTTGTTAAAGAGAGTGATGGTATTCTGTCAGCTAAAAAAGCCATCAATGAGCTGCACAGATGGCTTGGTGAAGAAGGATATACACAGGTATTTGGAATAATAAGTGTCAAAGGGATGTAATTGTGAGTGCTTAGATGATCCAAAGCTTAAATTATTTGGTGTTAACTTGCTTACAATAAGAAGCTCTCTGTTACATGTATATGCATAACAAACAGGAGATAGCGAATTTGATGTCCCACATTTATGTGTGAAGTAAAAGGTACAATAGCGAAAAAGATCTCTGGACTGATGAAGTAATACATACTGTAAGGCAAATATCAAACTACTAATGTACAAGAGGATAAAATTAGATCGCTAACAAAGAGTTAAAGAGTTTGAGCTGCTTATTTCACGTAAGATTTTCCCAGCTGATTTGAGCAGCTTCCTTTAAAATTAACTGAAGTTTTTCGGGCACAGAATCCGAGATAGAAAAGCATTTCTTCAAACAAAGTTTGCAGCATGGATTACATTGCTGTAAATGGTGATAAATGGTCATTGAGAAAACTGTTCTCGAGTCTTATTAACCCAATTTTTTTTCTAAGCAGAATCAATCATTATTATTTTTAGGAAGGCAGATATCAAGAAGAGAGAAATCAATCAATTAAGGAATCGTCTTGATTTGTGTAACTAATTCTCATAACCAAGATGTAAAGAAATGTATGGCGACTGGTAATGAGAATTTGTCATTATGTACTAGGTGTATGTGGATCAGATTCATCACGATGTTCATGCCATCACAAGACACTGTCCAGACAAGAGAAAAACAGTTGTTTTAGTAGCACATTCTGCCTTTCATAACCCCTCAGAGGACCTTCAACCTACCATGCACAGGCAGAAGGTTCATATGAGGGGTATACCACCACTTACTATACCAGGTCAGTCAAACTGATAATATGGTCGAAACTAGATAATAAATCGAAAGGCTCCTCGAATATTGAATCTTTTAGAAAGAACATCAGGAAAAAAAGACCTAACGTCACTCTTAAACAACAACAATAGCTGCTGTAACCTTTGCAATTCTTAGAGACTACCTCATATACCTATTGTTTTATTGTACAATTTATACATGCTACATATTTTAATTGTTATACATTTTTATTATTATTATTCCTTGTAAATAATTTTAATCTTTTTTTGTTGTGTCCCCAATTAATTGTGAAAACTAAATACATTGACACATAAATAAAGCTTTTACTTTACTTTACTTTACTTTACTTTACTTTACTTTACTTTACTTTACTTTACTTTACTTTACTTTACTTTACTTTACTTTACTTTACTTTACTTTACTTTACAAAGGGATCTAAAGCTACCCCACCTAGATAGGATGGCCTTGACCATCAAAGGTTAAACGTTTTCCAGCCCAGCGCTATGCTAGGATACATTTAATATGTTCCTGGATCAATAATGATGATGATGACGACCACGACAAGATCAATGATCTCAATTGTATCTTAGGAAGATTATATCAGGATGTTTGTTATTTTCTATTTGATAGGTGAGATCAATGAAATCATTTTTGAAGCCATGTTGGTGAAGAAAGCAGGCCTAAATGTTTTTAGCAAGGATGGTGAATTCATAAATGGTCTTCAGTCACATGAGGCTCTGGTTCAGCGGCATGTTCCACTCAGTGATGCTAAGGTAAGGATTATGGTCAGCACGTAATAGACAAATCAAGCGAACTTTTTTTGCAGGAACCATATACTGAAATGTTTCATTTTACTTTGCATTCCTATTTTGGATCTAACTTGTGCCAAAAAGTTACTTACTTCTTATAGGAGGCACGTCATGGTTTGAGAATCTTGATAAAAGTTTAGCCTAAATTTTTCAAGTTCGTCGTTTGTAATCCGTATCAATCTTCTCCATCCTTAACTATCCTTGTTCCTTTATGGTTTATTGTTATCTCTTTGGTGTTTTTCTATCTTAGTAAACTATTATTTTCAGGTTTCCTTCAATTTAAAGGTCATTTTGTATGTGGGCAAAATAACTCAAAATCTTTACCATGACTGAGCTCTTTAGCTATCAACTCAAGCACTGACCAGCTGGTCGTAGGGTTAACTAAAACACTGCTATAGCAGCTTAGAACTGTAGAAGAACTCAAACCAAACGCGAAAGGCAAAAAGGGCCATGGATAAGCAAAACTGGAGAAGATTAAAAGGGATTGCATTTATTTACAGTGGAACCCCGTTAATCCGGTCACCAACGGGCCACAAAAATCTGGCCGTATTAAAGGGGTTCTTTGAATAAGAAAATGACGGACTGAGCTTTTGTTTGGACCAGAATAACGAGGTAGCCGCAAGGTAGGGTTCCACTGTGTCTCTTTTTTGAAAAAAGAGTCGCTTATAACACTCAGAAGTCATCCTTGTTTGTCATGTGGCTATGATGTTGCCAACAAAAGTCTGTCGCTCTGCTAATTTGAGGCCTAAGCTCAGAATTACTAGTTAAAACGTAATAACATTAGGATTTCCTAAAATACAACGAACCAGTCCCTTTAATTTCAGTTCTAAATCTAACCGTGCTTTGCTCAATCTAGCATTAGCTTGCTTTCAATGAAATCTATAGACAATGGTTCTTTTTAAACGAATAGCGCAGTTTTCAACCGAGTGTCGTAAAACCAAAATCAAAGAAATCACTTCAGCCAATCACAAAGGACAGAAAATAAAGTGAACCAATCAAAACTCGAAGTAATCACATGTAGCTGACGCGAAGCGCGGGTAAACGAGTGCGAGTGAGCTTGGTTTTACTTCTGATTGGACAAAAAATTGGCGCGAGTTTTTCAGCCAATCGTGTAGCGTAGTAGATGCAAAACTTTTTCGACGCTCAAATGAAAACCGCTTTAAGGTCGTCAATTGTGTTAGTGCCAATAGTTCTAACCTTCAGTTTAACTTTTCTTGTAGTTTTGTGACTTCATATTTTTCAGACTTCCCAACATTAAAACCTTATTTACTCTACTTTCAGACCTGCCGGGCAGAACAGAAAGGGAATAACACTTTTGAAGTGTATTTTGATAACTTTGCTCCTGGTAGTGTGGTTGCATTCGACATCACAATGGAAACTAAAGTCAAGAATGCTTTAGGGAAATTAAGGTATGCTTCACCTCTGCTCATACAGTACCTTGACTTTGATAATTCATTGTTATTATAAACTACGAGTAGTCCCTCTTTCGGTAAGTCCGTTGTTCGTGACGCGAAAGAAAGCCGCACAAAAAAAAATGGCCCCGCGAAATCCTGGGGCCGAATCAACGATCACCTCACAGAAATCGAGAGCGAAAAAGCTAAAAAGAATAAAATTCTCACTGAAAAGGACTTCAAGTAAGGGTTTCCAATGATTTCTCTTCGTCATATGAAACTCCGTGCCTTCGAAAAATCGCTGAGACTGAATTGTCCTTTAAAATTTGCAGTTCTGTACGTGCGCGCATCAGTTTTTCAACAAATTTTAAAAATCTTAAAAGTCAAGAAACCGTGAATGTCCTTCTTTTAGGTTTCCCAAGAATTAAGTTATCCATTTGCTTCTAATTCCTCCGAAACTTCGGAAAGACGAGAAACGTCCAGATTTCGTAGACCATAGCTCAGCCAATCAGATTGCAACATTTGCATTAGTATACTTATAGAATTCTACTAATTACTAAACAGTAAAGGGAACGGTTAAGGACTCTTATAATTGAGGGACACTATAATACTTATAGATAAATGAGGGGGGTGATGATATGTACTTCAAATGCACTTTCAGTGAAGTGAGCACCAGGTGAACCATTGTGCCTTGCGATCTTTTGTATATGTACAGTGTAGTTCCGACCATGTTGCTTAAGGTATTAAAATAACTAACCAAGCAACATTGCGTCCTGTTCTCGACATAATAGCTTGCGGCTATGACAGGGGGAGGTTAACTCCTGCCCACCAGTCTATGGAAACCATAGGTTCCATCAGCATAGGTCACTTTGATCTTAAGTGCAGACATTTGACTGTCACTTGTGCAGTCAGGCATGCATGTATATGGTCCAAACAACTCTTATGTCATAAGACTGACTCTTTTAAAATAGCTGATAAAACAGTTGATTTACATATGTCTGACAAGCCATATTTATTATTGTTGTCAACAGGCTGGTCGGCAGAGGAGGTTAACCAACAGTTTCTTGAGCGTGCTGGATTGGGTTATATGGCAGAACAGTTTTATGCAAACAAGATCAATGGTAAATGCCTCATGCTTTTGAACGAGGTGAGTTGACAAATATACCTAAAGCAACTCAAAACTAACAACTGACCAAACTGTTCACTGTTTGTTTTCAATAGATATTGTTTGACTAGTTTAAAATAATTGTCATCAATCTTCAACGTATGTGTCTGCTTACAAGGCCCCCACCAATAAATTCCACTGCCACCTATACAAACAATTCTTTGACAACAGTTGATACGATATAATTCTTCAACGTATGTGTCTGCATACAAGGCCGCCACCAGAGAATTCCACTGGCACTATACGAGCATTTGTTGACAAGAGTTGACATGATATCAATCATCTATTTTTCAAGCATGGGACAATTTAAAAAGAAACAGAACCCTAATGGGGTTCTTACCTATGACCTTCCACTTACAAGTCAGGTGCTCTTTTCACTGTGCTACAGAAAATTCCTGGAAAGCTACATGTAGCTGGGTCATTTTACTGGATTTTATAATATCATGGGTACCAACATAATTTTAATACAGTAAGTGCTACCTTACTGCTAAAATCAGCAATGTCAAAGCCTAGCGTGAGTGACAGACATAATAATAAATCGTAAAATTTAAAGCTTGGTGAAGTAACACAACAAGACAGTGTATTTTAATTAGCTACACTATGCTAGTTAATAAAGCATGTGCCATTATTGTTTGTCTATACCAGTGTCAATGAAACAACCTTTTCCTCTCTCTGTGCAACATAGGAAAGTGTAGTTTAATGTGGGAAATTGTTTGGTAGCTCTACATGATTTGTGTGATAAGTAAACTTACTAGTTGACATTGTCAAACAGTAACTTAGACTGAAGCATTGTAGTTTTGATGGAATGAAGCTCACCGAGTTAGTTATGGGAAAGTACATGCACTGTCATGAAGGGACGTAATTAAATACGTATTAATTTTTATGTTCAGGGTCACCTTCATGAACTTGGGATAACATGTCTTGGAGACAGAATTTATCTGACAGAGCTAATTGGATTGTTAAAGAAGAAAAAGAGAGAAGCTGAACTCAGTGCCGCCAAGTGGTCTGGAATGACGCCTGCTCCTGGCATTGCTTACAAAGAAGACTGCGGAGAATGCTGCGTGGCATACTTCTGCCCATGCTGCTTAGCAAAGACCTACTGGCGTGTGACAGGGCAAGGCGTGTTTTACAAGCGAGAACCACCCTGTGGATTGTGGATGGAGGGTAAATTTTTAGAACTGTCATATTTCTGTATCAACAAATTCTTCTTTATTCACACAGCACTAACATTGCTACCATTGATTAGCACTCTTCTTCCAATAAAACACAACCCCCTCCCTGCTTAAGTACTTCTCCCATTTGAAAGTGCTTTAAGTCTGTAACAGGTGCCCTTTATAATATGTTTCCCGCTAACATCACAAGACAAGTTTTGTTTTGAAAATATGTTTTGAACGTAGGTTCCTCTAATCCACATTGACCCTCAAATGGGATTAGTGGATGTTTCTCATTTAGTTCATTCATTCTCGAAATTTATATTGCTAAATACCAATTGTAATCCCCATTAATAACACTGAATAAAGTATTATTAATAATAAATGTCTGTCTCACAATGTGGTCACCTGCGTGGTGTAAATCGCAGTATTTGGACTGCATAACAGTTGTTATACGCTTCATCAGGTGATGGAGACTAGCAGTATGCAATTGAAACATTGTGATCTACATGTCAAGTCATCCCAACGTGAGACAAATGATAACACTTCATTATTATTAAATCTAGCTGTATTTCACTGCGGTGAACTTTACAACTTAGGTGTAACTCCCTAATGCTTTATATGAACATGTACACAACCTACCATCCCCAGCTTTGCTGTGATAAAAGGCTAATACTCAAATCATCAGCTTTGCAAATTTCCTGTGGCAGTTTATTTGCCCTTATCAACTTCAAGTTGATAAAAGCTAAGTTTCTCAGTTCTAATAACTCAGAACAAATTAAACCACCAGAAAAATAGATCCAGATTTACCTAAATGTTCTCGAGACTTTTAAAAAATGATTAAAAAGACATACCCTGGCCTAATCAAGGCACTTAAATAGAAAAAGCCTGTCAAAAAGAGCCCTCCAAATCAACACAAAATTTACGTTGGATGAGCTTATATCAAGTCTTGGGAATTCTAATGGCAAATAGCGTATTTCAAGAGTGTAGAGTCCAAACAATTTAGCAAAAAGATAATGAAAAGTTAATTTGACCTTGAGATGGTAGAAAGTGATGGTAATTTGTTTTCCTCAAATGTCTTTTCAGTTCGAACGGAGTACATGGATTATAGGTTCTTCAAGGATCTGGAATTGAAGACAACTCGCAAATGCTTGTGCTGCTGTACAGCCACAGAGCTGGAGATGTATGTTGACGACCATGATGCTAGTGGTGCCCAGAAGGAGGGGGAGCCTCCTAACCCAGGTGCATTCCATCCTCATGTGCTGCGTCATCCTGAAGCACCTCAAGTCGAACAGATAATCAGAAATTCCTGGAACAAAGTCAGATTAGTTGCAGAGTAGATACTTTGCATCAATGATTGATAAATTGGTGTAAGGTTTACCCTGCTGGGTCCCCTTAATTGATTTCATGGAATATATGTTTTATAGTCTGAAGTAGGTAAATTTATTAGGCTTTAGTAAAGAAGTCATACCCAATTTAGTTTTTGTACTTAACATTTATTTTACTTTGAATCCATAGTGTCATCAATTCAGTGTGACATTTAGAATATTGGACTTGGGTTTGATCCGCACCCAGGGTCATTGTGTTTTGTTCTTGATCTTTCTCCACTCAGTTCATATCTAATGGGTTTATCTGCACAATAAACTGTGTTAAACCTTGGCACTGATTATTACTCCTCCAGCTCGTTTGTACCGCAAAAGACCTGAAGTAACCTTTTCTAAATAATGTTGCTAATTTAGAGAGGTGCTATTACAAATTCTTTGGTTTCCTTTGTGTGGCTTGGTAAGGAGTAAGGTCATACATAGACTTGTAAATGGCAGCTGTTGGGGCGACTTTTAGTTCAACTTCATATACTGTTATAGTCTCTTTTACGCCTAGCGAACAATTATGTAGATCAGAGTCTGTCAATTATCATCATATCTTCTTGATTAAATGCCAAATGGATGGCAAGTGAATGTTGGACATGTTTACGTTTCAAACTTACCCGTGCAAACCCTGCATTTTGTTGTAACCTGGCATTTATTTGGGGTGTGGTATTGAATCAAGAAGATGTGGTAGAGACATATTGGTTTACTTCATTTTGTGCTGAGAAATGGAGAATGCATAAGTTAGCTAAAACTTTGATTCACATGCCAGTGACGATAGAAATGTAATCAGGGGCACATGTGCTATACGTGTATTGGCTTGTGGTGTGGGTTGATATTTTTCAAGTTGCACATAGATTGGATTAATACCTGGTTTTGACAAGAGAGGCATGTGAAAATAAGCAAAACTTTTCTTTGGAAATTGAATTATTTTTGACTACAAATAGCAATGGCTACCTATGGAATTTTCCCTTCATTTGTTTCGTGAACCACAGTACCAAATAATGCAATCTACTAGTTCTCCCATGCTTGAGAGACTGACACAAATGTCATTAATCCAATCGGAATTTGAGCCTCTGAATCAAGACTTATCTTGAATATCGATCTCTTCATTTTGAAGGGCAGAAGTTTGGAGCAAAGAATGAAATCAAATCTCCATAAATGAATTCATTATTTTATTATTGGGTAGAATGTTGGACTGGTTTTGACAGGAAGCCCTTTCAAGCTTAAATTTAGGATGACAGGAATGTTACTGGATTTGATTTGGTCCCTTTACTCTTATATTTAATGTTTGTACTGTATGAAGTGATGTATCTTTTTTCCTGCTTCTGAAGTCTTTTGTTAGAACAACTATGATCAGAAAGGAGTTCTATAATGATTGGCAAAAAACATCTGTCAAAAATGGTTTTATTTTTTGTTGTATATCTCTTTAGTACACAGAATTTGCCACAACAGAGTATTAAAGTTCAGAAGTGTCTTACTGGGCTCAGACATCGGTAAGGGGGCACACTGAGAGGAAAAACAAAACAAAACAAAACAGTGAGAGTCCCTCGTATGAATCTGGAAAATAAATCAGTCAGACAAACTTAGTGTTATGTCTTGAAGTGTATACTTAGAGTCCACTGAAGTACGGCTAAGATTATCTTAGAGTGAATCACTCTCGTCTTTAAACTAGGTGAAAGCTTGCCTGGTTCCTTATAGTTTAAGTATGACGGGAACATGTACTAGGAAAGCCATAGGGTAAAAGTTTGTTCAACAACTAGTACCTCTTAAGAATTCGATCCACGCCTATGAACGATCCTTTCAAAATTTCCGACGATCACCCTAATCACGTTGGAGAACCCGCCCGAGACTTGACAAAAGGATGTGGCTTTGCGCTCTCCGATAAACTTTTCATTTGGCTTTCTAATTCCAAACCCTCCCTCTTCCCCCTTCGCCCACCCCCTCTTTCACCACCCTCTCCACCCACCTAGACAGTACTTGACTCAGGCTTTCAAGTTGAGCATATCCGGCGTGGCCCACTAGTGAGTACTAGTAAATTATTGGCAACAAAACAGTTATCTTTTCGTGACCGCAATAAATTCGTTAAAAATATATATATATATTAGATTGAGGGAAACAAGTCTTAAAGAGCAAAGCAAGGAGAGGACGTCGGACAGAAAAAAGTTTTCCGGCAAAATTATTACACCAGCTGTCAGTTTAATTCACACACACTGCATACAACTAGCTGTTCATCATCTTAACTCTTACAATCTCCGAGTTATTTACGAACAGAACGTGATCACATTTAACACGACAAAGACAATTCCCACAATGCCCATCAATCGTGGACGAATGCTCGACCCCAGGTTACACGGGTCAGTATTGCATAGGTTTCCCTCACAGCACTTGTACTCGCATTCCAGTTCTTTCTGTTTCTGATCCTGCATTGCCACTCTTTCCTCGCATTCCATCTGCATTCTCTCGCACTTGAAATCCATGGTACATTCTCGATGATATACGCCGTTCTTCCAGTCACAGAAGCGTGCGCACTTGGTGTGAAAGGAGCCAATCATTGAACAGTTGTATTGTGTCCTTTGGGCGTCGCATTTTTCCATGGATGCCGATTTCGGGCAGGAATAGCATAGCTGCGAAGAACCTGAAACCAATAGAAAAATTGCGGCAGTCGTTCAGGCAATCAGTCTGGGTAATAAATATGTAGTCTGTCACAGATCAATCTGTTTGTCTGGCCTCCGCTTCTCCGTCCTTCAGTCAGTCAGTCAGCTAGCCAACCAGCCAACCAGCCAGCCAGTCAGTCAGTCAGTCAGTCAGTCAGTCAGTCGGTCAGTCATTCAGTCAGTCTGGGTTACTCAGGCAGTCAGATAATCACATTTTTAATCAGTCAGTCAAACAATGTATCATACCATACAATATATATATCTGCCATATCTGGACAAGCCGATAAAAGATCGGTACTGCAAAATTGCAATGATATCATAATTTTCTATCGGTGTAAACTCCCCCACTAGCCAGGTCTCAAATTCAAAACTTTTTCATACCCGAATCTTGCCGAATAATTTAAACCCGAGTTCTCGCTATATAGTAGAGCTTAAAATGAATGAGATCTCGTTGACATCTATGTGAATAGGTGGAGTACTTTTTCTTATCAGAGTTTAGGCTCTAAAAATAGTTTGGAAGAAACGGCCCAACAGAAGTCAAGTGTAGTTTAATTTTCGATCGGTTCTCGATCTCGAATGAGGAGTGACTGCAAACTGAATTCCGTTCCTAACTGGGAAAAATAAAAGCGCTTTCCCTCTATGACGTTCTAAGAAGGCAAAGCTTGGTGTTAGACTACAAGTTAAAAGCTTGCCGACGAGGAGAAAACAGACAAGGTTGCGTTTTCTAAATATGTTTTTTTCAAATAACGTTTATCGAGATCCCGAAGCAATGATCAGTTGTCAACATTTTGCAGCTGTTTTGCTTATTAAATATACCAAGAACATGGAAATACAGTTTTGTACTCTGATATACTCACAGAAAGGCAAAATAGCCGCGAGAAATATTACCACACCAAAACTGTATCGGCACATTTTGCTACTAGTTACGCGAATCCTTATTGTTTTCGAAAACGTCTTTTTTGTAATTTAAATTTTGGACACGACGCTGCAGGCAAATGGTTTAACTTAACAAAACACAGTTAATTTGCAGACAACTTACGGAAAGCTAATCTGAATGAGCAATAGCTTTACCCGGCAAGTAGCAACAAAATTAGCAAACTCGACTCAAAGATTCAATAAGCTTTCGATTTTTCGTTATAAAGTTGATTTATGAATTCAGATTCAGATTTCAGATTTGCATATTTTTACGCTGTCAACAAGATAAAAAGGTAGTAAGACTGAAACATATTTCTTTCTGTTGTCTTTATTTGTTGAGCGTGACAGTCTATGGGTATGTTCCTTTGGGGTGATCTGGATCAGGATCAGTGATCCAAGATCACTCGGATCATGGTGCATCAAAGGAACCGATGAATCTACTCTGGTCACGGATTCATCGATTCCTTGATGAACTATGATCCGAGTGATGTTGGATCACTGATCCCGATCCAGATCACCCCAAAGGAACAAACTCTTGAGCATATTATGCAGATTTTTGAAACTCACGCTGATTTTTTTTTTCTATAAAACGTCTGTCCTCTGCATAGTGATTAGTTCAGTTAGTTGCTTAGAAACCTGCAAGACAGACATCTATTCAAGTTCCTGTTTTTATTATTAGTAGTAGTATTAGCACGATATTTCAACGCAGGAGCTATTTCTGATCAAATGCTGCCAAGCCGTAAATTCTTAGCTATCCTTAAAAAAAAAAGAGAGTCTTTTTAAATTTACTGCTCATGCAAAATCTGCTTTTAGCGAGTCAAACTTTTGCCTCGTGATCCAAACCGGAAACCACTCAGTCGCGACCGAGTGACGATGGGTCCAATTCACTTGAACTCACACAGGTGTGAATTGAAAATGCAATGCAAATCATGTCAGAATAAACGAGTGTGTGTCAATTATTGTACCGCCAGTTGTCATAACATATCATCCTGTTATGTTGGGTCGGAGAAGTTATGCCGCTTGAGTGACATGAAACATTTATGAACAAATATACGGCATGAAGGAATTATCGGAGCATGCATATCGTTTGACCACAACATAGCCAGATGGCTACAGTAGTTAGAGCCGATGTCGAATCGAATCTGCCTGTTCGCCGTTCTTTTGAGCTGTTCTTTGAAAGGTAAGAGGCGTTGAGTTCAGAGAGATCAATTCTTCCCCTATTCTTGTTGGATTAACTTGTAATAGTATCGCCTCCGACTTAAATTTTTACACTTTTGTCTAGTAATATTGAACAATGCGTATATATGAGGTCTTTATGGTTTTCTTACACATGAATAAGTTTAGGAGGGACACGAGAGGATCAAAGTATTTGACTTCGAACAATCAAGGACTGAGCCTCTTGGGTCTAAGACATGATGTGGTCCTTTAGAAGAGTATTAATTTCCTTCCACATGTGCGAAAGTAAAAAAAAAAATAATTTGTCGAATAATTTCAAGTCGCAATACAATACTCTTGGCTTTTGTGACCTATTTTTACCTAGCTATGATCGAATCGCTAGCTAGCTGTTTTTTAATGCAAAATAGTCTGAAAAAACCCGATGAATTTGATAACAAAATCACTAGGGATTGATCCGCCATTATATACTCGGACTTGATACTGAAATTTGTAAAAGTCAAACAGATTTGACTCAGTCTTATTAGTTGACGTTGATCAGTAGAATAAACTCGTTGAGAGAAGGTTGGCATTCGTTCACGCGATTAATCTTCGCAAAAACACACCGCGAGGTGGCGTATAAGTGTTTTTATAAAAGTTGAAATTTAAAACGGCGGTCCTTGGTTGAAAGGTTTAAAAGTCAGCTAGTGAAATCACTTATTTACGGTATATATAGATACATTAAAGTGAGAGCGTCGAACGCACTCTCATAATCTCTGATTACTACTAGTTATAAAAGTTAAAATTTAAAACGGTGGTCCTTGGTTGAATAAGCTGAATATTAATTAATTCAACGGCAGGTGGTCCATGGCCGTCTGTCGAAGAAAGCCAATAAAGAGTTTCTCCGTCGATCATTTCGCTTTAAAGAAGCTATATATATCATGGCACACACACATTGAATAATGTTTCCGTCATGTTAGACTATGTACAAAATTATCTTCAAATCAGCCTACACAAAAACATCCACGCCTGCACGCGACGCGCGCGTTAACATTATCTAGGAAAGTGCTGGGAACCAGTAGGGATGTTAAAATTTTGGGCATGCAGTTTTGAGTTTATTGATGTTATTTTTATGTGTTTTCAGCAATTCTAGGAGAGAAAAGCACTGCTTGCAGCCAAAGAACAGTTGATAATCATTGCTGTCGATTTCCGTTCTATTATAAAGGAATACGATACAGGAGTTGTACGTACCACGGTGATATTCATAATCGATTTTGGTGCGCCACAGAAGACTTCAAATACAGTAGAAATGTATCCACCAGCTGGGGATATTGCAAATGTAAGCTACAATAAAATTAATCTAATAAGCGTGACGATATCAGCTGGTTTAGGTTATAGAATTCTCCCGAAGGGGCGGGGGGGAGGGGGTGTTGGGTACTCCCTTATATGGCCTATGTAGGTTAAGTGCTGTCCCAAGGGGTGTGGTTTGTTAGCTGTTGTTCTACTTGGACTGAAAAAAGGGAATAGATTTTGACCATTTTCTTCTGAAATAAAGCAAACTATGTGTTTCGCTGGCTTTGCATCGGGTATTTTGTTGGCAATGAACTCCGCATCAACATTGGCAAATATATTTGTGCGCCCTTCTCAAATGTTTACACAAATGGAAGCCAGTTCTGGTTAGCTGCGGTCGTCTATTAGAGCCGTGTATTAATTTTAGAGGTCTGTAATGGGGTATCGACTTTTCACTCAAGTCTGAAATAGGATGTGAAAAATCAAGTATTTGGTCTGAAGGTTTCGTTTCAAGGTTCGCCGGGACTGCGCACCCCCACAAAAAAACTTTGGGGATTACCCCCCCCCCCCGGGGAGAATTTGTGGCAGTATGCATGGATAAACTTTATATTTTGCTGCTAGCTCGATAATGTGTGGAATCATGCATGATTATAGACCGTAAAACTGCACAATATCGAAGAGGTGAAATGTGACTGTTATTCCTCTATTTAGTTCAGATTTTAACGTAAGTATGCCTCGTAAAGAATTAATCAGTGGATTGAGATATTTGTAGATAAACAAAAGTGAAAAACAGCACCCCACCTCTGAGGTCTGTGATCTCCATTCCTGTGTTTTTTTATTCTGAGGGAATGTTTTTCTTTGTTTCATTTTTCTCAGTAACAGATTCTCAGTGTTTTGTAAAAACTACAGATGGAGACTGCTGCATTTTTCCGTTTAAGTATCGTGGAAAGGAGTACGAAAACTGTGCCGCTACAGAGGATAATCCAGAAGGTCTTTACTGGTGCGCGACAAAGTCAGAGTTTGATGGAAGCGTGAACGGATCGGGCTGGGGTTACTGCGCAGGTCAGTAAAGTCACTCAGGGCATTGCTAAATAAACAATAACCAACAGCTTAAACAAGAGAATTGTGTGTAGCATGTGATCATGTAGTGTAGACTGGTAATGATTAAGTCTCCTTCGAGCCAAGTGGTCTATACCGCCGGAGCCTATCCCGGTTTCCGTATCATAAGCGACTAGAAGTATTTCTACTCCCCCTGGATGGGAGGGTAGTACATAGCACAGTTACCGCCCGGCCCAGCATTAAGTTCGCCGGTACCCATTTATATACTTGGGTACGTGGAGGAGTTACATTATTGGAGGAAGCAAGACAAACGAGAAAATATGTGAATTTGTTATATGACAAGATAATCTTGAAGTAAATCCAAGCGCTCTGATTGATCTTGTTAAGGATTTTGCCATACGGACAGTCTCCATAGAACTTGTCATAAGTCGTGTATTTGTTTTATTTTCGAGTGCCATATAATAAACTACTTACTAGTCGTAGCTTGCTCGAGCCATACTGGGGGATATATCTCTCGGTCGCATTTGTAAGGACCTCGCTACACTCGGTCTGTACTGCCAAGACCTCAAGCTAATATTCCCCAGTAGGGTCCTCACGCTCGGTTAGCAAGGGGCTATTTATTTGAGTTTACGAAATATTTTTCTCTAACTTTCAGGGACAAAATGCTTCTCTTGTCAAAGTACCATTTCTTGGGACCACTGTAACACGCACAAGGTAGAAAAGACATGTCCATTCAGATTTGAACACTGTGCTACGTTCAACAAAGAAGAAACGCACGACTCTGAAAAAAATTCCAACCAAGCCAATAACACAACCAAGATATTTGCAAAAGATTGCGCTTTGGGCAGCGAGTGTTCTAAACCAGGTTCTCATTGTAATGAACAAAGCAGCATTACTGAATCATGTTCATATGGATGTTGCCATGGACACCTGTGTAACGGTGGAACACACTCGACGACAAGCCCGCACGGGAGTTTGGCTTTCCTTTTTTCGATCGTGTTAGCCATTATTTTTTCCTCGCGGACGAGTGAAGCGAGACGGAAACGCAAGAATTGCGAAAGTGGGAAACAAGCATTACTTCAATCATAGTTAGCAAGTTGTCGCTCTGTCCGTGTATTAGTCAAGTCGTCTCCAGGTCACCTAAGATGATTCCCGGATGAGTTCTTATTTATTAATTCTCCATTTATATCAGCACTCGAGAATGAAACGACTTCGAGAATATCCGCCCCCTCCCCCCACGCCCCAATAGGATGCTAGTCCATCACAGGCCTCCTTCTCTCGGCACCTAATTTGCTGATGCTTATTTATTCCCGTAGATAAAGAGAGGAAACGTGGGAGAAAAGTGTGCTGCCTAAGAAAGCAAGGATACGAGCTGTTTTTAAGTCTTTATTGTTGATAGAGTGTTACACAGACTGAACGTTAAAATGATTTAACTACAAATGAACGGTATACGTGAAATTACAACAAATAGATATCATCCAGAGGTACTTTGTTACCTCACCATCTAATGCATGCTTCTCGTATTAAGGAACACAATAAATCTTGTCTGAACGTACTGGAATCTCGTGACAGTGCGATTTTGTCTTACTGATTCAATTGCAGTGTAATACAGTAATCCTTGTCAGGGTTTGGCTACGAATGTCCTGACTATGAAGTTCTACGAAAGCACTTCATAACCGATGAAACACAGCCCAGAAAGCCAGAGTAATGACGACCAAGTTGAGCCAGCATTACACAGGTCATCTGAACAACAGGTGACATCACAATCCCCAGTCCTCGCCTCTTTGGCTTGTTTGCAATTATTCCTTGCAGTTTCACACATCATGTTATTGGCGCAGTCTCTTGCAATCTGAAAGAAAATATTTACAGAAATAAACGGAGAAGGAAAGGGGGAGGCGAAAAACACGACGGATAAGGGAAAACTTTTCCGTACCCCACCTCACCAGCTGCCTTTCTCCTCCTTTCCCTGCCCGCCACGCCTGTTATGCAGGCTACAGTCGCAGCCAGTACACAACTGACTATTCCACTGCTGGGTTATTTTCTGTCTGAGAGCCTCGATAAACAACTGCCAATCTAATTCTCAGAATTCGCATTATCCTCATCCACACAAGTTTCCGGTAGCCTCACCAATCATCTTGGAAATAAACGAGGTTCACTTGTAGTGGAGCTCTTATTTACACCTCCCTAGCTCGTGCTGACAAATGCAATAGCTAGTAAGAATTTACATCAGACGCTGATTTTTCTCCCTTTAAAATCACTGAGAGTAGAACTCAGGAAATCACTGACCAGCTCGGGGATATCATCTCGATAAACTCGGTTCCAAATACTTTGAATTGACATTGAAGATGGGTCATTTCGTTTTTGGGAAATTAATGCATACAAGCTTGGATAATAACGATAAAGAACCTTACAGGCCAGTAGTCCCGAGTTCAAGGTCCTCCACCCGAGTACAACTCCACGGGTACTGGCTGTCAACCTGTTCGGAGTGGCCTGCGTGAAAACAAGCTTTAAGCTTAGCCTTTTAACAGGCCGCTCACTTCACTCAAGCCCAGTTCGTTCTCGGCTCTTTCTGCAGCGGTCAGACCCTTCCAGCCGGAGCCTTTTCACAAGCTACTTTGAGCTAACATGAAAGTTGTAATCATACATTGATATTTTACATTAATACAGAACAACATAATTAATACCTAAAATCTTAAAAGTTGTTGTCACTGACTTAAAAATCTTAAAATAGACGTTTCGGCTAAAATACTATAACCTTCTTCAGTGATGAAATGAATGTTAATGGCGTCTAAATGTAAATGAGATGTTTATAAGAATGTGGGGAACATCTCATTTACATTTAGACGCCATTAACATTCATTTCATCACTGAAGAAAGTTATAATATTTTAGCCGAAACGTCTATTTTAAGATTTTTAAGTCAGTGACAACAACTTTTAAGATTTTATTACTACGCCTGACTACAACTACAGTATTTTCATAATTAATACCTGTTCGTTTTCATTGTCCATCATTAGCATACATTTGTCCATTAATAGTGGCTCTTTGGGACATTTCTTTTCTTTTATGTCCTTTCGGCAGTTACCTCCTGGCTCACATGCGAAACATTTGATACCTGATAACTCTGTAAATTCAATAACAGTGGGTTTTATAGGTTATGTAACCTCACCGGATGGTAAAGGGATAAGGGAGTTGCATAGAGTAGACTACATTGGATGGAACTGAAATCGCACAGTGCCGAAGTCGCGAGTCCTAACGCAAACGACGTCCAGTCACTGATGTCCCACTAGCCTCTGTGCGCGGGCTCAGAATAATTAGTGATATTAAAACTGAATTAGATTAAATGCGCTCAGAAATTTCCTCAGAGACTTTGGCTCAAACATGGAGCCACTCAAAATTTAATTGCATATTTTTTTGGGCACGATGTAAACATACAGAGCAGTAAAACTACGTGCTTACCACAACAGTTTGATATAGGGTATTTTTTCCTGACTGAGTTATATTTCGACACTGATAGCTTACAATTTAAAATCATACTTTTGTCGGGATTAAAAATCTAAACTTTGTTAAGTTTGTTAGGTAGAACTTGTTTCGGTCAAATAAACGTCATCTCGTGTCTAAGAACAGGCTGAACTGATCCATGATACTTGTATCATTTACGGTTTAAGATTTAATTTAAAGCTTACATGTTCAGTCAATGATTTTCATGTAAAATAGTAAAAAAATGCGCAAATTTGTGCAAGCTTGTGCACATCGTGACAGTGCTCAAGAAACGGAGAAAAGATGAGCTAGAACTGGAAATACTTATACCTTTAGCAAATATCAGCACTATACATAAGGATGCAAGAATGCGTGGCATACTTGTCTGTGAAATCCCCGTTCTCACAACACAGTCAAATGAAACCAGATGTGTTAAATATGTTCCTCTGACGGTCTCGACAAGTTGTTTACAATGAAAATTCTAGAAGAGATTTCCACTTCCAACAGGTGCATCGACTGAACGAAACTCTGGACAAGAACCTCGATAGGGGGTCGTTAAAAATCGTTTTCGTTCTTTATTTCACAGCTGCCGTCCTCCAATGCGCTGCTGTTAAAACAATCCTATGGCAAGTGAGAAACGTTAATGACCAATAATAACACTTACACCAGGCCCGGCATATGTTGACAAGAATGTGGATACTGAAATCTAGAATTTTTCGTTTGTTTCTAAATTAAAAGCTAAAATTGTCAACTTTCCTTAGCGATTTAAATACCTTTGTTTTAAAATAAGTTGTAAGAATTCGTTGATACTTGAAGCCGATGAAATAATAACGTAAGGAAGGAGATCGGTCAGGGCTTAAGAAGTTTCCTCACGTTTTTATCGAGCAGGAGAGTTGTCAATTTTTAAAACTGGAATTGATGGTACGGAATCTTTAGGGAAAAAATTGATGGGATATGGATACTCAGACCCCCTGATGGGACCTCCTGGATTTTCATGAGGTAACAGGGGAATCTGTAAAATATTCTAAATGGAACTAAGTCATTGTTTGAGCATCTTGAAAAACTTGGCCTAACGTTTTCAAGTTCGTCGTTAGTAATCCTTGTTATCTTCTCCACCCTTAACCATCCTTGTTCCCTTATGGATTAATATTATCATCATCATCATCATCATCATCATCAGCAGCAGCAGCAGCAGCAGCAGCATCATCATCATCATCATCATCATCTCTTTGGTGTTTTTCTATCTTAGTAAACTAATATTTTCAGGTTGCCTTCTATTCAAGGGTAATTCAGCCGACCTGCCCAAAATAACTCAAAATACCTTGACTCAGCTTGAAACGTTTTGGGGTCTACGATAATTAGACGAAACGCGTCGGCGAACAAAACAAGTCAGTTACAACTTCCTAGTCTAGTGATTTAGAAAATTGTTAAAAAATTGTTTAAAAAAACTATTACTCCAGGTAAGAGAGTCAAAATGTACACACGTTTCTCATTACATTTTTAATACAACCAAAGTTTTATTCCAGCCGTTAGATTACATTAACTTACAACCTACGTCGGTATGAAGTCCTCACTGTTTTGGCGTGAACGATTTTCTTAAAAGACTAATTTTAAAATTCAAATTATTACATGTAAAAAAGTAAACGACAGTGTATAAATACACAGGTGTTTCTATGGCCGAGCAAAATTAATATTTCTTTTTTTATGAAACGGTTATTTTTTTTAGCTTTAAGTTGATAAAGATAAATTTACTGCCGTTTCGAGTTTCACAAACTTGCTATGGCGGCTGGTTTTGCGGCAGAGCGCGAAACGCGATACACGAACGCGAAGCGCGAGTCGAAAAAAAAAATCGGCTGCAGTTCATTTACCTTTACCAACTTCAAATTAATTTTTCTATTTTAGATATTGTCGATTAATGGTAATCAGAGTTTCGATAATCAGACGGTCTCTGTTGTGGGTTGATTACAGCTGTGCTGTCAGTTTAATGCTTTGAAGTTAAACGTTATAATATAACCTTTTGTTAGTTCGGATCGATTCTTAGGATATTAATTTATTCTCGGAGTCAGGATTTCGAGTTGGAGTGATTTCAAGTCGGGATCTCGAGTCAGGATTCCCAAACGAAAAACCGGTCAGCTATATCAGTGTGATTTTTTTGCATACAGTTAGCTTGCTTTGGCAATGCTATATACATTTACCACTGAATAGTTTTAAAATTGCATGAATATCATGGAAGCATGGCTACACATTTCAACTCCCTCACATAAACAAAATAAAAAATAAAATAGACCTTCCTCGAAATCCTAACTCGGGACCTGACTCGAAATCCTGCCGTGATTAGTATACCTCTTAATTTTACCTTTTCGTAATGTATACTATACTTAGATTATAGACACATTTTTTTGTCTGATGACTTAGGAACAGTGCTGTAAAAGGCATCTGTGAACGTGTAAGTTAAACACCTCATATCCAAATTTAGTCTCTACACCCAGTCAACATCGTATAGAATGTCTAGTGTTATGCTAACTGATATTTTCTGCTTCCACCTTGAAATACTTTTGTTACAAATTCCCTGGCACCAGGAGACGAATTCCAAAGATAATAGCAACGAGCAGACAAATCCGTGCCCATGCGCTGTTTCCGATACCGCTGGCGCTGACTCCACTGTTGCACTGATCTTTCTCGCAGCAAGTAGCTTTGCAATCACCGCTGTTTGAGCAGGCTCTCGTTTTTATACCACAGCCTTCTTCATTCGTACAGCCTTGATCCAACTCGTCTTCCGCTTCAATTTTCGTGACTTTTGTGTGATAGCATCGATCATTTGTCGGAGTACACTCCAGAAGTTTTAATTTGTCACCGCCAGATTGACATTTCGAAACAGGGCCTACACAGTGGTAACACTCTAGAGACCACACTGAAAGGGAGAAAAAAAAGATAAAATCTTAGTGTTAAGAGAATGATAGACTCTATGTGGTGACGTCTGGGCATTTTATGGAAGTCCTTACTGACTCGTGTGGGGGCGGAAAATGCGGGGATGTAATTGTTAGCGCCCCGAATTCGCGGGTTTTGAGCCCTGGCCGGGGGCACTGCACTGTATTCTTGAGCGAGACACTTGGCTCTCACAGTGGCTCTCTCTAATGGTGTATAATTGGGTATCGGTGATTGTAATGCAGGGGCACAACTCTGCTATTGACTAGCATCCTATCCAGGGGGAGTAGAAATACTCCTAGTCGCTTCATGCCACGGAAACCGGGGTAAGCTCCGACTGTATGGACCACTTGACGCAATGCAAACTTGACCATTGTTCGTGCACTAAACAAGCAGGCATTATGTATGATTACGTAAGAAGCTAAATAATAATAAAAATAATGATAAAAAATAATAACTTTGGCACTGTTGTGCTAATTGAGGACACTGTAACTAAACAAACAAATATTGCAAAGAGAACGCAAATTATTAAGAATCCCAACTGGTGGGAGGCTGACCAGTTGGTTATTTACACACCGCGGTCGAGGAGTTGAACTCGGGACTACCGAGAACAAATCCAGATAGCGGTAGGGTGGAGGATTTGAAGCAGGGACCTCCAGATTTCAAATCCAGTGCCCTAAACCACTCGGCCACGCTGCCTCCCATGTTTATGGGAGTTATGCTCCAATTCTACTTGAGGTGAAATTCTTCTCAAACTTCTGCCATCTTCACACAGTTTTTATGTGGGTATTCCTTTCATCGTCGCACTACTTTGGGAAATTGCTCACGATCACGCTTACACTTGGACACAAAATTAGCTATTCTGCATAAGTCTATTCAACACAAATTCACCACCCACGCCGGAACGAACATCAACTGCCCAGTCGATCCCCTGAATATCCTGATACGACGCAGTCGAAAAGAGGTTCTGGATAGGAGTGTTTTAATTCAGTTTTTAATTTAAAGTTTTGGCGAATTTTTCGCTATTAGATGAAGTTTCAGCCCTTCAGTCTCAACCATTAGTCAAAAAAGAAAAAGAAATAAGTATATAAATAAATAAATAAATAAATAAATAAATAAAT